ATATATATATATATTCATGTGTGTGTCACGTACACATCTGTGTGCGTATAAAACTATAAACTGTATAAATATTTTAACATAACCTTCACATGTATGTACACGATTGATCATTATCACCGTTTATAATATATGTATGCATGTATTCATCGTACAGACATCGATACATCGATACCGATGCTCATACTGCCTGATACTCGGATTTTCGAGTGTTTAATCGTCATGGCCTATACTCACCATGAAATGGAATTTTCACCAGGCTAGCTAGCTTTGTGGCTAGCTGGCTAGGTGGCGCGTAGGCGCTTCCGTAACCAGCTGTTGCTGCATCCGCAATCTGCGTATACGCGGTACGATGCTGCTCTAAAGTGGGTGCTCCGCGTGCGCGGACTGTCTAGCTGTTGCTGCATCCGCAATCCGCGTACGCGTTATAAGGTATCTACGTAGGTATTGAGTTCCGCGTGCGCGGTCTTCCACCAGCTGTTGCTGTATCCGCAATCTGCGTACACGGTACAAGACACCCATATAGAAGTCAGATACTTCTTGCGCGTGACTTACGGACTTGCGTAAGGAATTGGGATCAGTAGCGCAATCTCTTGGCTGTTTGAGAAAATCGTACCATTTTTATATGTACTCGATCCATCTATGTGTTTATGGTATACTCGTTCTCAAAGTCTGCTCGAGCCAACCCGACGGCAAAAAAGCACTAATCTAGTTTGGGGCACAATGTCGCCGACCCTTCTCCGATCGTCCCCGATCGTTCCTGACCGTACACGATGCGCAGTTGTACACGTTAGGTTAGGTTAATGCAAAAAGTAAACAAACTTTTTGGTATTTGCACTTCTTTATTTACAAACTATTTATTTATTACAAACTATCTGCTTACATACAGCATGAACCTAACCTAACATGTACAACTGCGCATCGTGTACGGTCAGGGACGATCGGAGAAGAGCAGTAGAGCACTTGTTCACTTTCGTCTCCGACTCGCCCAGACTGTCCCCGACCGTCCCTGGATTGTAAGGTGAACAAATCTAACGAGCACGAGAAACGACTAAACAGCACTAACTGTACAAGCAAAACGAACGAACCGAACGAACGAACGATGAAAGGGTGTGTTCCAGTAACGCTCTCCGACAACTTACCGACAACTTAATTATGTGAATTATGTCTCACGATATCTTGCGTCATGTTTAAGTTGTCGGTAAGTTGTCGGAGAGCGCTACTGGAACACACGGAAAATCGAACTTATCAAACGTGCCCATTGTCAGTAAAGTGAAATCGAATAAACCTACATGTCGAAAGTGACAAACTCAGACGAACTGACGGAAACAGCTGCAAAAAAGACGACTTTGATCATCGATGAGATGAGTCAGATGAGAATGAGACACGATGATAACTATACATTCATGCTTATCTTATCGATTAAAACTACACATAGGTAACTTGCAGAAGTGCATAAAAACAAGTATGGCAGTGTGTTAGTGCTAAAAGATAAAAGGTTAGAAAAAGTGTATGTTCATTTTTCCCACAGCAGCAAAATGTAAGGGCTTACTCGATAAGATATAATAAGCGTAAGAGTAGTGGGTAAAGTGAAGTGAGTTATCGCAGTTGACGGCTTACTATACTTGCAAAAAGTAAAGTTAAGGACGTAAGTAATTGCGCGTGGGAGAAATGGAGCAGTGGTGCTATAGGTAACTAGTGTAACTACACTACACTAACTACCACTACGAAGACGAATACAAGCTGTAATGAGTGATTTGATTGTATAGGCTTTGCCGGCCTTGTTATGAGTGTTATGACTATCCTCCTCGAAATCATCTGTAAAAGTACGATGTCTGCCCGCCGTCTCCTGCTGTGCGAGATTTGTGAGTGAGGCGGCTGAGAGAGAAACGCACGTTTAGTTAATAGATAATCATATTGTCATCGCCCGTGGTGACACTAAGATGGAGGAGTCGGGCGAGAAAAAGCTTCTGTCCCGGAGACGATCTACGGTCACCCAGCAGCCGCTTAAAGTCAAAGACGAGCGCTCGGCCACCGTTAAAAAGGTATGAGTCTAAACATTAGTATAATGGTTTGTTTATTATTGTATTTTGACACTTTGATCATTGTGTTGTTGTAAATGATAAGCTTATGCGGTAAACATTTTATTTTCCAGGTCGCCGCGATACTCCAGAAATCGGAGGACAACCGGACGAGCGAAGAGTGCGAGATCCTTTTGTCCTGTGGTGATATCGTCAAAGAAATCAGTCTAAGGTTTGTGTTTTTTCACTCTGCACAGCACAGCTGATGCATGCCATTGTTTTTATTCGAGGTCAATGCTTCTGTTGTTATTGTTTACGTTTTGCAGACAATGCACTTTTTGGTTCATTTTGTTTGGCGCTGATTACAGGGCAGTTTTTTTCTCATTTTCATTCATTTTCCTTTTTTCTACAACATGCCGATTTTTGGAAACCAAGTGCAATTGGCTCTAGTGAAAACTTGAGCATTGTATTAGTCTTGATTGAATTTATAAAATGTTATTTAGTGTGATATCTGTGGGGAGTGTGGTGTGGTGATAATTTACAGATTATATTTATTTAGACATTCATTGCATGGATCCAAAATCTAAAAATTCTCATTTAACTTTTTATTTTATATTTTTATCATTCTTATCTGAAATTGTTCTTTGTTTTTGCAGACAAGAAAAAAGGGACAAGGTAAAAGCTAGGTTAGAAGAAATCGAAGATGAACCAGAATTATTAGAAGAAAAATGTATTAGATTAGCAGCAGCGATAAGTCGAGCAACATCTTTAACAGTTTATACAGGTGCTGGTATAAGCACAGCTGCATCTATTCCAGATTACAGGGGAACAAATGGAGTATGGACCCGAATGCAACAGGGAAAAGATATCGGGTACATTTATTTTTCTTGTATTTCACTTTTTAAAGTACAGTACTAGTCTATAATACCAAATCATAATCTTTTAGTAAAATAACTTTTTTAGGAACTTAATTATTTATTTCCAAAAAAAATTTTAATTTGGTAACTTTGGACTTGTTTGAAAAAGTTTTTAATACTATTCCACTTTCTGTAGTCATTGCTGTAAATCATCTTTCTTACAAGTATATCATTTTGTAACAGAAACCACGATCTCAGTCAAGCCGAGCCGACGCTTACACACATGGCTTTGTATGCACTTTACAAAGCTGGAATCTTAAAGCACATAGTTTCACAAAACTGCGATGGCCTACATCTACGCAGTGGAATACCCCGAGCTTTACTTTCCGAAGTCCACGGCAACATGTACGTCGAGGTGTGCCGCAATTGCAAGCCTTCGCGCGAATATTGGAGGTTGTTTGACGTTACCGAAAAAACGGCCAGGTATGCTCACGCAACTGGACGCACTTGTCACAAATGTAACTCGGCACTTCAGGACTCGATCGTCCATTTCGGTGAACGAGGTAATTTGTTGTGGCCAATCAATTGGAACGGTGCAAGCAGAGCAGCCAAACAGGCTGATGTTATATTGTGTTTAGGATCTAGTCTTAAGGTTTGTTGCATTAAACGTGCGTAACTTTATCAATTAATTATTTTCGTTGTTTTGCCTGTAACATAAAAATTTATATTCAGGTTCTTAAAAAGTACCCTTGGCTTTGGCAAATGGACAAGCCAGTGGTAAAGCGAGCGCAGCTGTACATCGTGAACTTGCAGTGGACACCAAAAGATGAAAATGCGACTTTAAAGATAAATGGCAAGTGCGACAAAATCATGAAAATAGTCATGTCGCATTTGGGCATCGATTTCCCAGATTATAATCGCGCGAAAGATCCAATTTTTTATCACGCAATTAAACTGCAAAGCAGTGAATTGACGACGACCTCGCAACCGTGTTTAGAAGAGCCACTAAAAGAGTACATTCAGCTGATGAAGGAAGATGAAGTGGACGATGTTGTAACAGAAGAAAAAGAGGTAGTGGAGGAAGGAGTTGATGATAATGACGATGACGATGTACAAATAATAGAAGATATACCAAAAATGAATCAAAGCGATCACTTTTCTAAAAACCCATCAGAAAAGTAAGTTTAATGTTTTCAAGAATTAACTTCTTTACTGATACATTCTTAGATACTAATGATAATTGTATTTAACAGCCACGTTGTGCTATCTGGAGGATTGATAGAGAAGAATGAAGTAATTGAAAAGGAAGTGGAAGATAATGTATACGACTCGCAAATAACGTTCCAAGAGCCTGTAATGGGCTATCCAGCTCCGTTCTTCGCTGCTCTTCCGTTCCTGTCGATGGGCCTACCTTTCCCCCCAATGTACATGTACCCGCAATTGACGCCTATCTTTTACTATCCATTCCTTCCTATGGGCCCTACAAACGCGATTACTCAGGATGAAGAGGATTGTCCTCCTAAACCCAAGCCTGCTTGTGACTTTTGTATGGAAAATGAGGGGTCACTCACGTGTTTATACTATCAACGAAACGCAGATGTTGATGATCTCACAGTCGACGACCTCATGGCTGCAGAGTCGCCTAATGGCACCGAAAACTCCGAGAATAAGGTAACTGACGAAAATGCTCCGGTCGCTGTCATCCCAGCGAAAAACCCTGGCTGGTTTGGAAAAGGTTACCGCAAGGGCATAAAGCGAAAGCGGTAGCATCCGATCATGTCAGAATGTAAAGTGGTACTTCGTTTGTTCCTCCTCTTCAGTATCGTCAAAATCGTCGTCTGGATTAACATGGTTATAACATTAACGACGATAAGACAAGAGCAGCTACACTGCGGACTCCTCATAATCGTGTAATGAGCTCGTAATTGCGATACGTAGACTCCTTTTGTAGACTTCGTAGAGCGTAGAGCGCGAGGCATTACTTTTTGAGTATGCGTTTTCGCATAGCTTGTTTAAAAAGGCTAGTGTATAGTGCTACCGTCTATAGGGTGTTTATTTCGTTACAAATATTTTTTCTCAGTTTTCACACTCCTGTAAACCGTCATCGTTTCTTACATTATTGCGTGGAATCATTTCTTTTGGTTGTATGTGTAGATGAAGATAGATTAGAGCAGAGCAGATTTATATTTTTGATTAGCGCAAAAGTGGTCGATGAACAATTTACCTTGGATGTTAGAAAACTAATGACCAGCTTTTTCAACAGAGTTTTTTGTCTATTTTTTATCTATTTAGGCTATATTTTTAGAATTGTTCGTACCGAGATCCGTACTTGCGCTCTTGAAAAAGATATTTTTAACCCAATATACAAACAACATGCATCTAATTGTTTTTCATGTACAATGTTAGCTGAGAGTTTGAATATTACTAAAATACTCATAAATAATTAGGGAAAATATGGTATAAATAGATAAGAATAACTACTCAAAACTAATCAAATCTGTCCATCTTACAATGGAAAATATTTTATAAATATTTTCGCCCAGAGTTTTTCTGTTATTCTCACAACTTATGTTTAAAAGTTTGTAAATTAGTTCACAACAGTATTAGCGAAATTTCTGTCGAATCAAATTCCATTATTTCGCAGCATTTTGATATTTTTAAACATACTCACTTGAAAATTTTCTAAATCCAGAAAAATAAAACTACCTGCAACACCCCCCTAAAATATTTATACATACATAAGAAATATAAATTCATGTTATATACGAATAACAAAAATCAAGCAAATAATGCTGTGAGTCATTGAGATGAGAACAATTCCCTCACGTAGGCTTAACAGCACCAGTAGCAATATTTTAACTGTGAGATTAAACTTGTAGTTAGTAAAAATTCAAGATGGAAAATGTAAAATCTTGCCCTTTGCTATTTAATTTGGCTCAGTGCATAGCAAATCCCTTATCCATGTATTAACCAAAACGATTTATTGTAAGTTTTGGTGTTTAATAATTTTGCTAATTGTGCAACAACGTTTTTATGAATATTCTCCAGCAAAAATATTGAATGGAACATGATAAATCCAAATTACTTGTGAATTACATAGTATATTTTAATCAGTTTTCAATAAACAAAATAATTTATGTAAATCAAAGAACGAAAATCCAAAACAATTTTCGTAAATTAAAAATTTTGTTTCAAAGTTATCAATTGAACTTAGGCTCTGACATACAAAAACCAATATAGAGATTATGACATCACAAAAATGAGCAATTAGTATTTTAACATTGACTGCTTAATTTGTTACTTTATCGCAACATTTAATGTTTATGAAAATTTTTGATCAGTAGAAAGTCATATTGTTTGTTCTGTGATTGTTTTAATCTGTAATTTCGTAAATTTTATTNATTACAATATAACGTTGACATTTTACCACAAAATTGTGAATACAAAATCTTTAGATCTTTGAATAATATAAATTTTTCATATTTTTACATGTTTTTCAAGACTTTCTCTACGCTCTGAAAATTGGAGAAAATGTTGAAACGTATAAAAAAATCAGTTCTACTATCATCTTACGTTTAAAATTTTTTTGTGATTGAAGAAAGTTTTATATCTTATTCTACATTTTTGTAATACACGTTTACATATTAAATATAATTATGTTATGGTCTAAGTAACGTTAATTAACAATAGTAGCTAAAAACTGATGTAATAGTACTAATATTGATGAATTAAAATAATTTTTAAAACTAAAATGAATATGGCTGAACATATTCCTCGGGTTAAAAATGTAGCAGTCCTGCCTTCGATGCAAGTTTATAGCGATCGTATTATAAAAAAAAAAGTTTTTTATAACAAAAAAAATTTGAACAATTCTATTTGAAAGTGAAAAAACAACTTTTATATTATATCCAATTACGTAAAATGTGCACCCAGCCATATCCGAACTCGGTGACTGAAGTACATAAAGTATATCAATCATTAATCATTATGTTGCTGTTGGCGCATGAGTCGTGAATATACCTGTATCTATGGTAATGGTGCTATTTGATTGAAGCTTATTGAGTCATTATTCGTTGCATAAATAATAAATAATTGCATATATGCCTATGAAAAATATTTTATCAAAAACACTTTTAATGCATTAGAAATACTGGTTTATATTGATTACAGAGAAATACAAAATATACGTTTAGACAACCCTACAAAAGGTAGCACCTATTTTGTATCCAAAAAAATCACAACCAAGTAATCACTGTACAAAGTACTTATAATTAACAAAAACTTCATTACATATGCATATGTAACAACAATGTACTTATAAATGTATGTATCACTGTTCAAAACACTTGTAATTATTGGAAATAATCTCTCCAAGTACAACGATTTCATCGTCATCATTGAGGTCATCTTGATTTGCATAATCGTTGTTTATTAGTTCCACCACTTGTACTTTGCTATCATCGTCATTGTTACTAAACTCCAAAGCAGTCATCAGCTCCTTCATTCTTTCCACATGCTGCAGGCCGATCTTTTCATTTGACTTCTTCAAATACTCCCGAAATCTGACATCTTCTACCAAATCATCGAAAAAAACCAGGCCCAGGATATCCCTGTCACTCTTTCTCTCCAAAATGCGATCGTTCACCCTGGCCAGATAATTTTCAATGACCCTAGTGTCTGCCAACTTTCCTTGTCCGATGACAAACCTCTCTGCCCCGGCCGGCTCGGACGTGGCCGGCTTGAATATACTGATACGCTCAAAGCACCGGTAAATCAAGTACACTAACCCGGCTCCAAAAACCGAGTACAGGTTGCCCACCCTCATGACGAAGTTAGCCCCAGCTCTCATGACCTTCAGGGCCAAGTAAAGCTGACAGATGTACAGCTGCCTCGTCGTCATCTCATCCTCGCAGTTGTGACCCTTGGCCGGGTTTTCTCCCGCGCACATGGCAATGTGCACACCGGACAAGGTCTCGGACATGATGGTGTCACGGAAGGCGAGCTGGGCCCGTAGGTCGTAGATGTTGCCGGCGTTGTCGGCGCCATGGTAGATCGAAAAAATATGCGGGGACGCCCTGGCTCCGTCCTCTGATGACCGCAGAGTGTTGAAGCTCGTCGTCGCGAAGCCGTAGCCCCGTACCTTACCCTCCATCTTCGTGAGGACGTAGTCGCACAACCAGTGGGGCCCGGGGCTTATGTCCACAAAGTACAGGTACTCGTCCCTTTTGGCCACGGTTGGACACGTGAACATGTGCTCGTAGACTATGTCGATGTTGCCCATTTTTATGTCAGCCGTGTACGAGTCCGGGCCAACTCTCGGCTTGTGTTTCAGTGCAGTGGACAATAGTATGATGTCAACGACGATCCACTTGCTGTCGCAAAAGACCGCTCCGGCCAGCTCGATGTTGTCGGTCATCAGTCGTTTCTTTTCCCATCGCGAGATGCTTTCCTCGCTCGGTACTTCCTTGTGGATATTGTCCAGCCACTCGACGTTTGTGCACTTGTCCGGGTCGCTGGCCATCTCGTAGTTTTTTGTTTTAAAGCCGAAGCCTTCGCGGGTCTCTTGGCCAGTTGTTTCGAGCGGTCGGAGCCTGCCCTGTAACTTTCGTCCGAGGCCGTTTCCGACCCTGTAGCCCATCATCTCCATCAGGCGCAAGCCCGGGCTCTTGAAGGTCGACCTGTTATCTGTGTCGAGAACATCAACGAAATCAGAACGTTTTATCAAAATACACTTGAGCATTGTAATTGTTACTTTTTAAAAGAGATGAAGCTTTTAATGGTCTCGCTCCTCATTTCCAAATTAATAATCATATTCTAAACAACTCGCATTGTCGCTGCTCTTGCATGGGTCACAGAGTTCCTAAGTCCTACGTTTAGAATATTACATTATTTACTTAAGTAGGTACATCTGAATTTTCGCACTTGAAAGTACAGATCCCAGAGGGTCAAAACTGCACTTGACAGTGTCAAGACTGTCAAGTTGACACTCAGAGGGGTCGGGTCACCCCTCTGTAGTCACTCTGTTACAGATATAACTTGTGGCTGTGTTCGCATAAAGGGGGCTCCTACGGCTACTGCTGAGGTCAAAGACAAACAAAAAATAAAGTTTTGTTTTTCAATAAACAAATGTGTCTGAAAATCATTATGATATTTTTAATAACGTATGAAGTGGGAAAAATGATATTTATGTGTGTAGTTTAACTTTGTACGAAAAATTAATTATTGTTTTGACCAGTCTAGTGCATGCGAGGGTACACCACCAGACCAGACCACCTGTGTTGGTGTAGTATAGCGATGTAATATATAGGTATATGGTATATATATGTCGTGAACAAGTACGTCTGCTACCCACGTGACCTCCTGACCTCCCGGACACTATTTATTTATTTTCATCACAAATATCTCGCTAAAATGGTCCTTTATCCACAATTTTTAATACATCATATTACAGAGGAAGACTTCATCTACAAAATGTATATATTCAGTCTGCTGGGACTTTTAATTTAGGTTTATTATAAACGAAAACAAATTGTTTTTCACGCTGCCCCATAGGAACACGTGCTAATAGTTACAACTTTGAGCTCGGATTTCTCAAAATTTTGACCCATTCGAAACATAATTTAGACCATCATTAAATTCAGTAGACTTTTATTTACAAGAAATAATATATCTCTGTTTGGGGACTTTCGCGAAGGAGCCCCCTTAAGGCTTCGTTAGTTAAGTCCATAGAGGTATAAGAATAGAGGAGAAAAGGGGGCGTGATACTTATAGCGACAGCAGAATTGAGATTGAATCAACTGTAGGATTTAGGACGAAGAAGTAGCCAATAACGTGGCTTTGGAAACAAGGACAGATGCCCCGTTAAGGTGGCTCCAGCGCCTAGTGCCGTATCAAAATGGGGAGAGTAAAAATTAATCATTATTTTCTTTAAAATATGGTATAAAATTATCGTAGAGACTGTTGTAAGCCATATTCTACATTTTATCTGTTACTTTAGTGAGTTAATATAAAAAAACAAAAAAGTTTTATGGTGCCCTAATTGATGAACTGTTACGGTACGCTCCTAAGTTCAAGAGTAGTTATACCTATATATATGTACTCTGCAGAATGCAGACAGCTGAGAGCTGACTTGCACTCGCAACTGTATACTTAGTCTCCGATTATTTAAAGACTTTGTTCGATAACAAGACACTTTTCTCATGTCATCGAAAACTGCGTAATAATATATACAAGATAGTATGTTTTTTACACCTTACGGGTTATTTATATAAGTGCAGCAGTAGGTTGTATATCGCGTAAGCTTGCATTTCCTATCTAACCCGTCTTAAAACTACGATTTTGTAAGCATGATTTCTTACAATTTTCATCGTCAACCTTAATTTTTTTTTATACGAATAGAAAGATGGGAATTCAAAGAATATAATTCAATTTTATTAACCTCGGTTGGGTTATTTATAATTTTAACATTGAGGCCACTGGAGCCACCTTAAGGCCTACGCAGTCAAATTGACATAAGGTGCACAGTGCACAAGAATAACATTGGTTGGTATACCTATATACATAATGCACAGCGCGTTGTAAACGTAAATTTACGTTTTTACATATATAGATATACCAACCAATGTTATTCTAGTGCACTGTGCACTGTGTGCACCTTCTGTCAATTTGACTGCGTAGGCCTTTACACTTAATTATACTGTCGCTGCCGCTAATGGGCTAGTATAGCGCTTTTCCCCTCTATTCTTGTACCTCTATGGTTAAGTCAGTTAAAGTCATGTGATCATTTATTTATTATGCGAGTGAGGCGGTGACATCATGTTATCTCCCTTGCACTTATGATAAATGATCACGTGACCTTAAGGCGCTTCTCCCGAAAAATGAACTATTATATTTTTGCTTGAAACTTTGTTTATTGCTAGATGACGTAGTAATACACATTTTCTGAAAATTTGAGCAAAATTGTACGTTTAGTTTTTGCGTAAAACAATTTCAAAGTTCGACAAATTCGTATGCATCTCTTTGTCTAACACACGGTGTCTTATGGCAACGGCTGTCGACTCACTGCTCTGTTTTTTAGATTACTCGGAAAATAAATTATTTGTCTTTGATTAAAAACCATCACCACATAGTTGNACCTACATCCATCTTAAACGCCGTTATATATTAACCAACGTGAAATCCGGGCACTTGCGAAAAGGTCAAGTTGCATGGTTAGACACCTAGCGGATGGTTAGAGAAGGACGGAGAGCCAAAGAATACATGTGTGTGAGAGGGTCCCCACAATGTGACTACTACAGCGCCGAAGTGCCTGTACAATGAAACAAAGTGGCCACACAGTAAAAAAGCTTTACTAGCGAATTGTAAAAATTTACTAAATGAAATAATGTAAAAGTACAATTTTTTTTGCAAAATTACAAAAATTTTCGTAGTTGTACAAAATTTTTGTAATTTCACTAGATTTTATGTTGGACAGAACTGCGACCCATATTAAATGTAGTAAATATACAAGTCAGATTGTAGTCCATTTTACAACTTCCATAGTAATTTTAATACTGCGTAATAGTAAGGGTGAGATTACATGGAGTCTGGCAGTCTGCAGACTGGCAGAATCGCGCTAAGTTTAAATTATGTTTAAATTATAACATCTCAGAATAATTTAGTAAAATAAAGGAAAAATTGTAATTATTGTCAGAAAAGAATAAAGGCTTAGTTACAATCAACTTCAATTACAATAAAACGTGTCAAATATTATTTTATAACTTTTTTTATAGATTTATGTTAACATCGCACAGTCGGTCAGTAGGGTCACTGATGTAACCTGGTATGTATAATAATATGTAACTGTGACAAAACGTTTTTCGTCGCCTTTTTTTTCGTAAATATTAGTTAATACAGAAATGCAAATGTATTACGATAATTATTTCTTTGCTTACGTAACAGGTTTTAAATATTAATATTGAAACATATTTTAAACTTAGCGCGATTCTGCCAGTCTGCAGACTGCCAGACTCCATGTAATCTCACCCTTAATATGCGAACACAGCCTGTAACCCGTGTAACTGTAGGAGTGGAGCGGTGAAAAAAATTAGCTGTTACGTGTAAATACAATAGGTCTTACGAAAAAATATTTAATAACAAAATGGTTAGCATTGTTAATTTAATAAAATTTGTTGGTAAAGGTTAAATAAAGGACACACGTGGAGGAGGGTGAACGCGTATTAGATGCAAATCATCTGGTACTTTATGGGTTTACAAGCTGAGACGAACATCAGTGGATTGAAAGATGAGCCTCACTAATTGAGTTTTACAATTGACAAAATTAACAACAATTTCAAGGGACGGTGTTCCTGCGTGGTCGGTGTATGGGGAAATGGAAACATGGTGTTGCATTACTGTTTTTTTTAAAAAGGTTAGTTGTTTTTTTTTTGCAAACAAACTTTACGAAGTTCTGTATAAATTTACAATCTGCAATTTAAAAATGATATAATTGCAGCCCTATCAATTTACTCATAGGTACACACATCTCCTATAACACCAGGAAAATTGAAGTGGCCGATAGAAAAACGTTTATGCTGCTCGCGGTTCGTTTGCTCTCACGAGGCTCATTTTTTTGTTCAACTATTAAATTGAGATTTCAACTAAGTCTTCTAATGAATTTTATGATAAAATTACGGATAGATTATTTCAAGTTCGGTAAATCAATGAATTTGTTATTCGATTTGCACGTAACAGCTGATTTTCTGCACCGCTACTGCAGTTCGTGTTTACTCACCCAGAGGGCGCTCACGTTTGCTTTCAGGTAGTGTAGTGTCGTATTGTCGTATAGTGTCAGGGTCCGTAACATATAACTATTTTTCTGTACATCGGCCTATGTTATAACATAGGCCTGTGAAGCAAAAAAAAGTTATATGGTACGGCCCCAGTGAGCTTCGAGGAGGGTTCGAGGAAGTGAGCGGGCAAAGCCATTAGAGTTTTATAACTACATATATATGTATCCTCACTCCCTCGAAGCTCACTACTTTCAGGTACAGAGGGTCAAGGGACAGTGTGGCAGATGGGCCGCCATGTTCGGGCCTCTATTTAGAAACTGTATATTTACGTATATTGCTCACACATCTTGATATGTGTCACTCAAACTTATGAAGCTCACAGACATGAGATTTCGAGCCAGTGATTGGCTGATTAGGATTATGTGCATGTTGGTCCTGAATATGGCAGAACCAATCAGGAGAAGCTCCCACATCTGCCACACTGTCCCTTAACCCTCTGTACTTTCAGGTGTGAATAGACTCTGGTGAATAGATTCGGACCGTTCTGGGTAGCGGGTACGCTTGTCAGTATGTCAGTACATTATTCGAAACGAGTCCATTATTTCGATAATAATTCCTTGCTCTTATCACATTTGCGTGCAAGGGCCCTACATATATCTGTGGGTACGTTTTTTTTATGATCGGTTGGTCGGTCCAATTCCTTTAGCAAAGTGAATATTAGTTACAACGTCGTGTAAAGAGATATCGAGCTGAAAACTTTTCCATGGGAGATCTGCACTTGCAGATTCAGGTCATATCGCCATAAGACCGTGTGAGTGCGAGTGATAGAACATATATATTCTTGCATCTCTAATACACTCACATGGATTTATAGCGATTCGGCCTGAACCTGTAAGTGCAGATCTCCCATGTACAGGAACCCTTAAAAATTATTAACAATTATTACAGGCACCCTAAGAATGTCACGTAT